AGGACTTCTGGTAGCTATGACATCGTTATGATGAACCTGTATCCCATGCAGGGAAATAAAAAACAAAACGACAAAACTAACTCCACCCTTTGGGGGAATTCCTCAGAGTAGAAAATAGAAATGGGCAAGGCATTTGGAGACCAGTGAGCAGGTGACCTGACTTTAGTCACACAGGATGTCTGTTTGATGTCATCATGGGCAGCGTTCAGTACTGGACCATGTTCAGCTCCATGGAAGACTAAACAACAAATCCTGGTGGACTCATCAGAGTTTTCCAAGAACCTGAAGATAAGGTTTCCATTTGAGTTTGTTCACTTTGCCTGCTGGGTGACCTTGGGCAGGTTCCTTAACATCTCTGAACCTGTTTCTTCCTCTATAAAGCAGGAATATTAATAAATATCAACAAATTATTGATAAGCTTGACTTGAAATAGTATTTTTAAAACACTTCCCATGAGATCTATCTGTTTCTCTTACATGAATGGAGAAGGAGAACTGGGAACTCCCTAAGTGCAATCAAGATGGTGGGAATATAGTTCAGTTCAATAAATACATATTGATCATCTGCTAATATTGTACTCATAAAGCTGTGGATTCATTCATTCATCTGTTCAAGAAATATTTATTAAGTAGTTTTTTTGTGAAGGGACTGGGTTATTTCTACTGGCTGCTCAAAGCCCTAAATAATGCTGAAAATACATTTTGAAGTTCTTACTCTTTGTTCTTTTATTATGAATGGATTCTGCATTCACAGAAGGTTTAAAAGGGTAAGTAGAGCTGGGGATGGTAGTGAAAGCCTGTAATCCCAGTGGCTTGGGAGGCTGAGGCAGGAGGATCACATGTTCAAGGCCAGCCTCAGCATCTTATCGAGGAGGTCCTAAGCAACTTAGTGAGACCCTGTCTCAAAATAAAATGTGGCTCAGTTGTTAAGCACCTTTGGATTCAATCCCTAGTATCAATCAATCAATAAAAAGTAAGTAGGTATTTCTAAGTGGAAGAAGCCAATCTGAAAAGGTGACATACTGCAAGATTCCAGCTACATATGACATTCTAGAAAACGTCAACTATGAATTAGTGAAAAGCTCAGGGGTTGAGGTAGTGTGGGAATGAGCGGAGGAGCACAGAGGGCTTTTAGGACAGTGAAGCTATACCATATGGTATTGTAATGGTGGATACATGATTGTCAAAATCTATAGAACGTCCAAGACAAAATGAGTACTACAGCAGCCTATGGACCTTAATTAGTAAGAGTGTGTCAGTATTAGCTCAGCAGTTGTAACCAGTGTACCCCGCTAAAGCAAGGAACAATAAAGGAAACTATGGGTGGGGTGAGGGTGAGGGGGGATTGGGAACTCTGTACTTTGTTAGAGTCTGTAAACAAGTCAAAATAACACCTGGCATTTTGCCAG